ATTAAAGAGATCGGTGCCGGAAAGATGTGGCCACGGCACCGCAAGACAAGAGAGGGACAAGTGGAAACAAATGACGAGATGTGACGCGGATGCAGACTACGTGACGTCTGCCCATCGTGGATCGCGACATGAACCCAGAGACGTTGAGAGCACCTGCCGTGCCCGCTTCACCGTGGACCGTTGCGACGACGACGAGAATTAACGTTTGAAATCTCGCGTCCATCGTGCCTACGAGGGCGTGCAGGCCGCAGTCTGCCCTCCTCACCTTCTCGTTCATGGTGAGGATGATCATGAGCTTGCGGAAGATGTGGATGAAGTCCAGGAAGAGGTCCACGCTGTGCCTGCAGTCGCGGTCACACGTGACGATGGAACGGTTTGTGGGGCGTTCGTGGTTAAATTTTGGAAAATTTCATGAATTTTACAGGTAGCAGTAGGGCTTTCGCAACCAATATTCTCCACAATTGAGGGTTTTTTCAGATCGCGTAAAAATATGTGTCGTTAAACGACGATGTCTTGCCACATGATGATGCTGGTTGTAATTACTGGCGAACCGTCACGGTACTCGAAATGTAAATGTTGTAGTGGCGTTTACTCCCCAACACACAACTGGTGTGTGTTGGGAGTCAACCCACTACTGGGAATTGTAAATGCTGTAGTGGTTTTACATCTCCAACACACACCTGGGTGTGTGTTGGGGAGTAGACCCACTACTGGAATTGTAAATGTTGAGTGGGTTTTACTCCCCAACACACAACTGGTGTGTTGGGGTAGTAAACCCACTACTGGAATTGTAAAATGTCGTAGTGGGTTTTTACTCTCCAACACACAACTGGTGAAAGAGGGTGTGTGCGGTCGGGCGTGGTGCTGGCCACCCACCCCCTCGTGTACCGTTCCGGCCTTCATAGGTGCTCGCTAACAGCACTTGCCCCAACAGTCTGTTAAGGCTACACGGGGGATCTTTGTCTCTGTTGGCGCTCACCAGATGAAGTCCTTGTCGCCGGCGCGGCACTTCTCCACGATGAGCTGCGTGTCGAAGAGCACGAAGCCGCACATGACCAGCAGCCCCAGGTACATCTGGGCCTGGGTGAGGGGGGGGTGATGGGGGGGGGGATGTTGGGAGAGGGGGGGGGCATGGGGAAAACAAAACATAGCAATGTAAGTATTGAGGCCGGCGTTAACATTGAGCAAAAACCAATGAACTCGTTGCGCGCGCAATAACGTTTTGGTTGTCTCAAAGTCCAGGTGATGGTTTTGACATTTCTTCTGGTGCTAAGCGCGTGCCCGGCCTGCTCCAGGACTTCAAGCCCAGCGTGGAAAATAACTAAATGCACTGGCTAAGGAAACGCCAAAACAAAAACGGGGTATCGACAAAACAGTACACCATCCGGCATTATCTCAAGAGGGCATGGCAGAAGGCCCAGAAGGTGGACTGGACAGCAAAAATCTTGACAACGTGGACCCCCCGTGGGTGGGTGGGTGACCGAGTGGAGAAGATAAGTAATATTTTAAAATACTTTATAAAAACACGCTTAATGAAATGTACCGTACAAGTAATGGCAGAACTCCACGACATCCAGGAAGTGGCCGCAAAGCTTGGCACAACGTGAGGGGCCGTGGTGATTTACAGCCAACGTCAGTTGAGCGTGGACAATTAGACCCAAGCCGAAACATAACATTTAAAAAAGATGGTTTAATTTATTTTTAATGATAGAATATAGTATTGTCATCAGTAAGGCATAAGTATACCAAGTTTGCAGTCGATACCACATTGGGGAAGTGGGGTTAAAATTGAGTTACAAGATTTGAGGCTACAACAACAGAGTGAGTTAATAGAAAGTGTGTACAAAGATTGTTTAACAATATAATTTTTATTTTTATGATAGAATGTGGCATTGTCACCAGTAAGACATAAGTATACCAAGTTTGCAGTCGATACCACATTGGGAAGGATGGGTTAAAATTGAGTTACAATATTTGATACGACAACAACAGACGGAGCGAGTTCAATAAAAGCGTGTAACAAAAGGCTTCGAAAAAACGGCCGGAAAAGGTGAGGGGGCCCATCAGGCATCACATTGTGCTCCCCACAACGATTGTGGGTAATTCAAACAAACCAATTTTTAAAAAATATATTTTACCAGGTAAGGGCCTGACTGAGTTGCTACAAAGCTATTTTTTTTCAGAAGCGAACCTGGCCATAAGAAATGATAGCTCAACGAAGTGGCTTATCGTCACGTGGAAATTTACAGCATGGAAGGAAAAACCGGAGGATCCGGAGAAAAATCAGCGGGGCCACGGGGAGAGAGACACCGCAGACTCCAAATATACAGCAGCAGCAGGTGTCAGAGTTCGGGATCGAACCTACGACCTCCTGTATACCAGGCGAGGTTGTTAACATCTCCTAGCCACCGTGATGATGATGAGAGACACACGCAAACTCCAAATATACAGCAGGAGTCAGGGTTCGGGATCGAACCCACGACCTCCTGCTTTCCAGGCGAGGTAGTTAACATCTCCTAACCACCGTGATGATGATGAGAGAGAGACACGCAAACTCCAAATATACAGCAGCAGGCGTCACAGGGTTCGGGATCGAACGCATGACCTCCTGCGTACCAGGCGAGGTAGTTAATATCTCCTAGCCTCCGTGGCGCCCCATTGATGGGAGGATAACGATGATGGCAAGAGAGGACGAGGAAAAGCACCACACTTAAGACACTGGCACGAGCCACTGAGAGCCAATGCTACACACGTAACATCGCCCCTCCACACCCCCCCCCATGGGTGCTGACACGGCAGGAACACGGCATGCGGTTTGCACGAAGGCACGTTAATAATTCACGAGCTCCTGGTCAACTGTATCTGCAGCGTGCACGCGCGCACATTTCAGATGCGTGGTGGGGAAAAAACACACGCAAAAAACCCCGCGCTATCGCTGGCGACAACAGTTCAGCTTTAGCGGAAACTCGTCAATTTCGCTTCCTCAGAAAAAGAGAAAAAAAAACTCTAAAAACATTTAGAAGAGGCGACCTTCCGGGAAATGGCTCTGTCGTGCGACATCGGCGAGCGTGTTAAACGGCGTTTTGGCTACCAGCGCGCGCACAGCCCCAACACAGCAGTCGTGCACATGCGAATGGATTCCGTCACGTTTTTTTCCCCACGTTCGGCTCGTCACAGCAGCGAAGGAGGCACCTTCCAAGCCGTCCCAATGGGTTGATGTCGCCCAGCGACCCGCGCAGCTCAACTCTCGGCTATTGCTGGGATAATTATCCGCATTTTTCCGATTAACCGTGCTTTCTGCCAAAAATGTAAACGGAAACAAAATTATTTTCACAACGAAGGTTTTTGGGTTTGATCGCGTCAGTAGAAATGTGTCGTAACCGTCCACCACCCGACACAGCCGGTAAGGTTTGTCACCTAAAGAAAGCGCCAAATAGTTTACTAGTGCGGTGTGCAGTGTAGTGTATAGTGTAGTGTATAGTGTAGTGAATAGTGCAGTGTATAGTGCAGTGTATAGTGCAGTGTATAGTGCAGTGTATAGTGCAGTGTATAGTGGTGTAGTGTATAGTGGTGTAGTGTAGTCGTGTAGTGTATAGTAGTGTAGTGTATAGTAGTGTAGTATATCGTGTTGTAGTATATCGTGTTGTAGTGTATAGTGGTGTAGTGTATAGTATAGTGTATAGTAGTGTAGTGTATAGTAGTGTATAGTGTATAGTAGTGTATAGTGGTGTAGTGTACAGTGGTGTAGTGTAGTCGTGTAGTGTATAGTAGTGTAGTGTATAGTAGAGTAGTGTATAGTAGTGTATAGTGTAGTGTATAGTGTAGTGTGTAGTGTAGTGTGTAGTGTAGTGTATAGTGTAGTGTATAGTGTAGTGTATAGTGTAGTGTATTAGTGTAGTTCACTACTGCAGCCCACTGGTGTGTTGGAGAGTAAATCCACGACGTTTACAACGCGATCACCGTGACGTTTCGCCGGTAATGACATCAACCAGCATCATCGGGTAATTTGCCAGAACAGTGAAGCAATCCACCTGCTTTTGGTCTTAAATAGTGCAAGATGATGTCATCATCTTCTTGGTTCTTTTGGTAAAATCACGTAGAAGGGAAGTAATAAAATAATAAAAATAAAACATAATAAAAACATTCTCACGACGTTTCGGCCACAACGCAAGCAGCCGTCCTCAGGTGAAGACCAGGTCTGAATGATGCTGTCTCCCCGACAGACCTGGTCTTCACCTGAGGACGGCTGCTTGCGTTGTGGCCGAAACGTCGTGAGAATTATTTTATTATGTTTTATTTTTATTATTTTATTACTTCCCTTCTACATGACTTTACCGAAAGAACCAAGAAGATGAATCACTGCAGTCACGAAAGCTTTAAATCGAAATTTAATTATATTTTATTATGTTTCATTTTTATTATTTTATTATTTCCCTTCTACGTGACTTTACCGAAAGAACCAAGAAGATGAATCCCTGCAGTCACGAAAGAAGCTTTAAATCGAAATCAGGCTGCAGCAGCTTCAAAATGCAGCCGCCGCCAGTGTGTTTCACTGGCACACCACTTTCACCATCGCATCACGAACCTGTGCTCCTGTCCCTTCACCGGCTCCTCGCCCAAACCGGTGCTGATTTTAAGATTCTCTTGCTGGTATACAAGTTGCCAGCATTTTAGCCGCGCAGTTTAAACTGCAGTAAAATTACAATTGTGTTAATACTGGTAGGAACCACCTGGTTCCACCAGCCCACAGGGGATTATTGTGTCCGTCCGTCCGTTGTGCATCCAAAAATGGGAGGGGTGGGGCGGGGTGGAGAGGGGAGGGTGGGGAGGGGCTGGTCACCCCGTGGTGCCCTTATAAAACTCAACGTTTAACCTACTCACGCCGGCTTGTGCCCGCCCTCACAGTCGGGCATATTTGCGGAATACACCACGCCGCCGTTGACCCTGCAGGCCATTGACCAAGCAACCCAACGTTCCTACCAGCTCCCTCCGCAGGAATGTGTTAACGCACAATCGATACATTTACTCGTATTGCAATATATCTGTATTACAATATATATTCTAGATAACCTGCATTACAATATATAGCAATGTAAATACACGTAAAAAAACAGCGCCTTGTATCTCAGGAGAAACTTGCAGGGCGGTACACACACAGGTCACATGACCTACCTTGAAGAGGAGGGCGGAGCCGTAGAACATGTTAAAGAGAGACATCATCAGCAGGAAGGAGAGTCCGGACATCAGAGTTCCTGCACAAAACACATCGCACACAAAGGTAACCACACAAATGTGCGTGTAAATAGATGATAATTTACGCTTGTTAACCCAGGAAAGCCTCACCCAGTCTCAAGAATATTTTCTAAACTATACTTTTATTTTACCTCGTGTAAGGCATTCCACTAAGCTCCTATGTAGCTCTCTTTCACAAGCGACCAGATTATCACAAATGATAGCTCAACGAAGTGGGCTTGTGGATATTTATTGTGGCCAAATATTCTATAAACGCGTGACGTCGATTCTAAATGTGGAGGGGAAAAATCGGAGGACCCGGAGAAAAATATACGCGACAACGGGGAGAACGTGGAAAAACTCCAAATATCCAGGCGTCAGGGTTGGGATAGAACCCACGATCTCCTGTACACCAGGCGAGGTATTTAACATCTCGCCACCGTGATGCCCAAAAAGGTTCCTGCACCACGCCCGGCCACCTTTGTCTCCCTAGTGGCTTTGTGTACACACCGCACCAGGTACTGATTTGAGGCCGAGTCGACACAAGGGACACGCCAATGACCGGTTCAAATATTCGCCGCTGTTATTTGTCGTGAGCGAGAATGAAACCTCTCCGTGCGAGTGTGCGAGGGCAGAGCAGCGACGCCCGCGACAACGAGCGGAGCGCCGGGCGGCTAAAACACAGCAAAAGCTGGCACAGCAGGGGGCACAGGTGGTGCGCATCTGCCAGTCATCTCAGTCAGTGAACCCATGGACATCTGCTGGGTCTGTCCCGTGTCCTCCTGCCAGCGGGCATTCGACACTCTACGTGGCCTTAAAGTGCACAAAGCCTGGCACAAGCGCCGTGGTGATGTCACCCCCATTTAGTGACCAATGGCGGTTGTTGTGAGGACACGCGTGCAAGCACACGCGCACGCGCGCCCTCGCAAAAGAGGCGATGTTCCGTGCGTCTCAACGGGTCTATCGTCCATCTACAGGTTAAACAACGGTCACCAAAACTCTACGCCAGCCTCACCGCCCAGGTAGAGGTAGGAGCGGCGTCGGGCGTAGAGGGCGCTGAGGGTGAAGCAGCCGAAGATGAGGCTGGTGCCCATGAAGGCGGTGGCAATGATGCTGCAAGAGAACACGCGCGCGCACGCATTTAATTATAGACGGGCCCCTAAACATGGTCAGGAAGTAACCGGATTGCTGTAAATTGCAAGAAAAACGGACAACACTTTCGAGCACACAATGTACAGAGGTTATGTTTTTTATAGCTTGATTTGTGTTCATTTTGCATCATTCTCATTGTGTTTTATCCACATTATGACTCCCTCCCATTACCCCGGATTAACTTAAAGTTGACCGTAGTAGGAAGATCAATTTTGAGAAGTCATAAGGGTTGAGTGGAGTAGCTGCCGAGTGGCGATGCTGAAAATTATCGCAAGACGTAAGATCCACGATCACCCCAGCGAAAAATATATCCCGACTGTCGCGACTAATTTCACATTTCATGAATAATTTATTGGCCCGAAAAAATATTTATCAAGTAACAAGAGCACAACAATTAAAGTAAACAATTGTCGAGATGTTTTTCTCTTTCAAAAATGGAAATGTACACAATTGGGAATGACACCGAGAGCCAGGAGGAGGAACACACGGATCAGGGAGCGTGCAAGTTAGCGGAATACTTTTCACGTTCACGCACAGCATATAGATCGCGTAAAAATAAATGTGTCGTTCAACGATGATGTCTTGTCACCTGATGATGCTGGTTGTAATTACTGGCGAAACGTCACACTCTCCAACACACCAGTTGGGTGTTGGAGAGTAAACCCACGACAGCATTTACAATTCCACTAGTGGGTTTACTCTCCAACACACCAGTTGTGTGTTACTGGAATTGTAAATGTTGTAGTGGGTTTACTCTCCAACACACCAGTTGTGTGTTACTGGAATTGTAAATGTTGTAGTGGGTTTAACTCTCCAACACACCAGTTGTGTGTTACTGGAATTGTAAATGTTGTAGTGGGTTTACTCTCCAACACACCAGTTGTGTGTTACTGGAATTGTAAATGTTGTAGTGGGTTTAACTCTCCAACACACCAGTTGTGTGTTACTGGAATTGTAAATGTTGTAGTGGGTTTACTCTCCAACACACAACTGGTGTGTTGGGACGGTGACCGTTGGCCAAGAGTGGCAGACAGGTAATAAGCGCCCGTCTTGAGTGTACGCGCACAGAGATGCGCGGTATGAAATCTGTTCATGTGCAGGCGTCAGGCGGAGAGTGGTGGTGCAGCGGTTAGCGCGCTGCCCTATGAACCCGGCGATCCGATTTCGATTCGCACTCACGACCAAGACCGGCGATGGTTGTCGGAACCGGTCCTGGGCCTCCGCCTAGGTCGCCTCGGTCTCAAAACGAGTACCGGGAGTACGGTGTGGTAAACATCACCACCTGGGAGACAAAAGGGTTGTTGGTGGTGGCCACCCACCCCCTCGTGTGTCTTGCCGGCCTTCACAGGTGCTCACTAACAACACTTGTCCCAAGAAGTTGGTGGAGGCTATACAAGACACATCTTTGTTTCGTTGCCGTTTGTTACTGCATCACACGATCGCAAGATACGGAGGCAACTCTCGGACGCCTTCGCCCAAGAGGTCGAATGACGATGCCTGACGTTGCAAGTGTAGTGTAGTAAGGACGGACTTCTATACTTCTTTATGGCACACACTGTTTAGTATCTTGACACACAGTCCCTATCACACTCAGGGGTATACGGTCCCCTCACCCGTTACCCTCAGAAGGTACAAGCCTCCAGACCTTCGAGGCCGTCTAATCTCCCTGCTCTCCCAGCGTCCTCCGGCTGGACCTAGGGGATCTCTCCCCGACCACTGGTTACTCTGAGCCCGAGCCCTGACAAGGGCTGGAGGGCTTGGTCCAGGGTCCTAGACGTCTTCGGCCGACTTGGGTCTTCGTGTAGCAGAACTCCTTCAGAGCTCTCAGCGCTCTGGCTTTTATACCTGTTCGTGGCCGGGTTGTCCAATCTCCGGCCACCTTGTGGGACCCTCCGATTGGTCCTTCCCAATCTGGGTTTGGATCCTACCTCACCCCATTTGACGCTGACCGTTCGATTGAGCGGGAAAACGTTGTTAACGATCTGCTCTCACAGTTTGCGAACAGCGAGTAGTTAACACCACTACATCAGCATGTACGACGTGTGAACTCCTTTCGCACGCCGTACGTAACACCAGCCTTGCTAACTGGAGGTCCGGGGGTGGGGAGGCATGACAGCCAAACTGAACACTCTGTTGACGGCGATAAGATTCCCGTACGTGGCACTGCGGGTTGGCAGCGTGCTTACTCTTACCTCGGGTTGATTGCGATGACGAAGTCGAGCAGAGGGCCAAGTCCGAGTCCTGCACGGGGGAGGAGGAGGGGGGAGGAGGGGCAACGCAGTCCCATTACACATTGCAGGAACGCAGAGTTAACGGCCGCATAATGCCGGCTAAAGAGTCGACGTACGTTTACGTTGGAGAGTCACAATATCGCCATCGTTAGCCATGGGTAATGCACTGTCCCCCCCCTCCCCTCCCCCAAGCTATTGTCACAAAACGTTCACCACGAAGCACAAATCTACTAACACAATATGCAAGCCGAGAACGTAAAGGCATCCTATCACAGCGGTCACCAATAGACAGGACCGGCAGGCACCCTTTAGCTCAAATGTTAACAGGGAGAGGTTGTTCAACTTTTGACAATCGTGCATTGAAATTAAACGTAAAGGGTGATCGCCATTTATAAACACCCCAATCAAAACAGATACGCTTTGTAGTTCAACTCATTTCTTTAGTGGAGTGGTTAACTTGTGGTGCACGCTGCATTCCCTGAGGGATGTGAGATGCCCTTTCTGGGGGGTGCGAGAGATGTGCAGATTTTCTTAGAAGGTAAATAATTGAAATACAAATTGCGCACGGGTACGTAAGTTACAACTTCTTCTTGGTTCTTTCGGTAAAGTCACGTAGAAGGGAAGTAATAAAATAATAAAAATAAAACTTAATAAAATAATTCCCACGACAGTGTCTCATTCTTCACCTGAAGACGGCTGCTTGCGTTGTAGCCGAAACGTCGTGAGAATTATTTTATTTTATTATGTTTTATTATTTTATTACTTCCCTTCTACGTGACTTTACCGAAAGAACCAAGAAGATGAATCCCTGCAGTCACGAAAGCTTTAAATCGAAAGTTACAACTTACTTAGTTTCATCAAAGCCTACGTAGTTACTAACATTGTAATTGTTTTAACGATTGAGAATCAAACGGGTGCAAGGCTGCAGTAAAAGTTAGGAACCACTGCTTGAGTGGAACCCCAGGTCGGAGACTTCAAGATATAAATGAAACACTTGTCCCCGCCAATGCTGGTGGAAGGGCCTCTACAAGAGAGAGCTCTAAAAGATATTTGGCCTACTCTTCCACGCTGACCAAGACCTCTTGCAAGGGAGGTGGGCAAACCCACAACCCACCCCAAGAGATGGACTTAAACCGGCAACCTCTGGATCGTAAGGGGAGTGTGCCAACGTTAATACCACGGCGGCTTCGGTGTGTGTGAGTGCGCATCTGTGTCTCTCGTTGCGAGTGTATCAGGGGTGGTTTCTCGTGCATGTCTACGTATGCGTGTGTCTACATGCAACTCGATGGGGACATCCATGGACCCACAAGTATGTGGGGGAGTCTATGGATCGCGTTGCAGTGGCCGCGGCAAGACAGCGAGGGCGCGGTACACGGAAGGAAGAACATTCTCGGGCGGGAGATCACCCCACCCCCCTCCCCCTTCGCAAACAGCAGGGGGGGCGCGTTTGGCGTTGAAAAAGTTGATGCAATCGTCGAGCGGTGCAGCGAAACAGGAGAAAGGGCGGTGGGGGGGGGGTTGCGATGTTAATCGCGCAGTCATTGACCGACAAAGCCACGGGGCTGGGGGCGTGCGTGCGTGCGTGCGTACGTGCACGCACGGGGAGGTGGGTGGAGCACATCGGTCACATCGGTCGAACCCCGAGCCGCCAGCCAACACGCCTCGACTCGGGTTACCACCGGCAGTTCACGTTGGAGCACGCACGGCGGCTCTACCTGCAAACGGGTTTTGATTCCTTACCCGTAACCGGCCGCACCAGGGTCGCAAACGGGTACCCGTACCCGGCCGTACCCGTACCCTACCCGTACCCGGCCGGGTACGGGTATCGGGTACCTGATTGCGACCTCTGGGATGAAGCCATGTTGCAGGCGCGGGTGGGTTGATTCTAGGCACTTGAATTGTGAGAAGAGACAAGACGTTGGGAAATGAGTGACAAACGGTTACTCACCAGTGACTCACGGTCTACCCGTACCCGGCCGCACCAGAGTCGCAAACGGCTACCCGTACCCAGCCGGGTACGGGTAGCCGGGTATTGGGTAGGGTACGGGTATCGGGTACCCGGTTGTGACCTCTGGCGTCCGCTCTCGCGATTTTCCACATCGTCGGGGGCAATGTGACCGCAATCTCGCCGTGCTGGTCTGTGTCGGTGCGTGAAGGCACTAAGCGTAGGAGTGCGAGCATAGCACAGTATACATAACAGTGGCTTGCACCGCACTGCGATTTTTTTTACGTTTCTGTAACTCAACAATGAGTTTTTTTCCTTTAAATTAATTAGTCTGATGACGTCACCCTGCTGCTGCTGCTGCTCTATATAAGACCGGGAGCAATCGCAGAGCCTCTCACCATTCTGGCGAATTGCCCGATGATTCTGAATGCAATCACCAGCGAAACGTCGTACTACTAAAAAAAAACTGTAAATGTTGTGGTTTCACGCTTCAACACACCGGTGGGATAAAGCAGTGAACTATTTGTCTTTTGTCAACGTGATACTTTTGGCTGATTGGCCGTGTTGGGCGGTGGAGGGTTACGTCACATTTATGAATAACGCGATCGAACCCAAAAACGTTATGAATAATTAGTCTGAGCGAACATATGTTGCGGGACATTTATTGTTAATTCATATTGTTTACCAAAGTGCACCGTTATCAATGTCTTCTAACGCAGCTGTTTTTTAAATTTCATTTCTATTTGCTTTACTTGTTCCACTTAATATTATTACGCAATTTGCTTTCGTCATTTTCTCACCACCACGGTTAAACAAGGTCAACTCGAACCGCTCTCACGTAGCGACGGTGTAGCTCCACGTCAGCCTAGGCGCGCGTATTGTGGTCACCCCCCCCCCCCCAAAGCAAGCATGAGCCAGGCTCAAACCTGCTGTGCTTCCCGGCTTCTAACAAGCTCGGGCACATTCCACACGATTCTGTCATCACACTGCAACAACTGTATTGTGTGAAATACAGCCTCCTCAGTTTCCACTTGTGGGGATTTCCCCCCCACCCTACCCCAATGCCACATGTGTTGTAAGCCAACTGTTTAACAAGCGACAAGGGGATTTTATTATATTACTCCGGAGGCTGATCAGCCTCCGTGCCTTTCAGCGAGCCACCCGAGTTCTTCTAGAATTGCCGAAATACACACGTATGTGTGCATGTGTAATGAACGTCTTTCGCACCGTACGTGGTCAACCTCGTTCATCGGAGGTGCGGGGAAAAGACAACAAACTATGGGTCTCTGTGTGAGTCTGTGGGTCTCTGTGTGAGTCTGTGGGTCTCTGTGTGAGTCTGTGGGTCTCTGTGTGAGTCTGTGGGTCTCTGTGTGAGTCTGTGGGTCTCTGTGTGAGTCTGTGGGTCTCTGTGTGAGTATGTGGGTCTCTGTGCGAGTCTGTGGGTCTCTGTGCGAGTCTGTGGGTCTCTGTGCGAGTCTGTGGGTCTCTGTGCGAGACTGTGGGTCTCTGTGTGAGTCTGTGGGTCTCTGTGTGAGTCTGTGGGTCTCTGTGTGAGTCTGTGGGTCTCTGTGTGAGTCTGTGGGTCTCTGCGCGAGTCAGTGGGTCTCTGCGTGAGTCAGTGGGTCTCTGCGTGAGTCTGTGCGTCTCTGTGTGAGTCTGTGGGTCTCTGTGTGAGTCTGTGGGTCTCTGTGTGAGTCTGTGGGTCTCTGTGTGAATCTGTGGGTCTCTGTGTGAGTCTGTGGGTCTCTGTGTGAGTCTATGGGTCTCTGTGTGAGTCTGTGGGTCTCTGTGTGAGTCTGTGGGTCTCTGTGTGAGTCTGTGGGTCTCTGTGTGAGTCTGTGGGTCTCTGTGTGAGTCTGTGGGTCTCTGTGTGAGTCTGTGGGTCTCTGTGTGAGTCTATGGTTCTCTGGGTGAGTCTGTGCGTCTCTGTGTGAGTCTGTGGGTCTCTGTGTGAGTCTATGGTTCTCTGTGTGAGTCTATGGTTCTCTGTTTGAGTCTATGGGTCTCTGGGTGAGTCTATGGTTCTCTGTGTGAGTCTATGGTTCTCTGTTTGAGTCTATGGGTCTCTGGGTGAGTCTATGGTTCTCTGGATGAGTGTGGGTCTCTGCGTGAGTCTATGGGTCTCTGGGTGAGTCTATTGTCTGTGTGAGTCTATGGTTCTCTTGTGAGTCTATGGGTCTCTGTGTGAGTCTATGGTTCTCTGGATGAGTGTGGGTCTCTGCGTGAGTCTATGGGTCTCTTGGCGAGTCTATTGTCTGTGTGAGTCTATATACGTATTATATAGAACTTCTTTCACACCATACGTAGCCAACCGCGCTAATCGGAGGTGCGGGGGGAGAAGGACCATCACACGTCAACGGCAGCACCCTTCAAATGATCGCCGTCGGCCTTTAGAATCGATCATTCATCGCCGCCCGCGGTGCCCGCGTTCCCGCTCACCAACGGTGAAGGCAAAGCCGCACAGGATGCCCAGTCGCTTGGCGTCGTTCTGCCCATTGCGAGGCGTAAACATCAGCCACATGAGCAGGCCCATGCTCACCAGGGTCATCAAGAAGTTCCCCTGCAGAGGTCAGTTGCACACAAGTGAACGGGACAAATTAAATTCCTGTACAGTTTTAATTCGTAGCACTTTGTGCCTTCTTTTAGCACCGCCCCCTCCCGATACGTTCCATTCATTGGCTACGACATTCTGATAAGCCCCCCCCCCTCTCCTACCCCCCCAACTTGCCTCACTTGATGCAGCAAATCTGGCTGTGACAGTCCCACCTGATGACGGAGACTTGTGTTGCTTCCGAAACGTCGTGATTTTATTGTTTTATTTTTATTAATTTCATTTTTTACCTACGTGACTTTACCGAAAGAACTAATAGTATGAATCCTTGCAGTCACGAAAGCTTCAAATCTAGAATTAAAGTTTTAATTCTAGCAATTTTTTTTTACCAGAACAAATTATAGCTCAACAAAGCGGCTTATCCTCATGTGGACACTTATAGCGGCCAAACACCGTTAAATGCGTGATGTTGACTCTTAAACGTGAAGGAGAAAAACCTCGAGGACCCGGCGAAAAATCCACGCGACCGCGGGGAGAGACACGCAAACTCCGAATATACAGCAGCAGGCGTCAGGGTCTGGATCGAGCCGACGACCTCCAGCGTACCAGGCGATGGAGTTAACATCTCACATCGCCCCAGTTAATGATTATTATAAGCGTTTGCACTGTGTGCCGAGCCAATTCAATGTAGACACGGTCATGGCACAATTCAATGTCTTCATCGTAAACGGCGACAATTCAATGTATTTTTTAGCTAATAGTACAATGCAATGTCTTCACTGTCAACAACAAGTCATAGCATAATTCAACATCCAGTTAATAATAAAACTCGCTGTACTTCAGAGTAAACAGCAACAGCAGGGTTCAAGGTCTTCACAGTTAACAATAAAACTCGCCGCTGGTAGCACCGATACAACCTCCACATTTAAATAGCAGAATTCAGAATTAGATGAGAGCATGTGTGTGCGGGGGGGGGGGGGGGGAAGGGGGGGTTAGGGGCACCTGATAATTTTGATCATCAACCATTTTTGTATGACATGAGTCACAACCTGCTAATTTTGGCAGAAATATTTTGCGAAAAAAATCCACGGCCGAGGTGCTGGGGATGGGGAAGGGAAAAAATGTAATCGCCTTGCAGTAATGTTGAGGGAATGGATGAATACGGTGGGATTAGTTCCACCCACACACAACCACAACCCAGGCAGAATCACACCTGTGACCTTCCCCAACTCCCCGTGGTCACCCATCATCCATCCACTAATCTCATTTCCATCTTCGTTTACGCCACGCATCGTCACCACCACCTCATTTTACACGCGCATCCCATCCACTACCGTCTCGTTTCATCTCGTCAAACCATCCTGTACCGTAGTTAGTTCACTGTACAGCGCCTCAACCAAATGTACGAGAAGATAAATGACACCGGATGCAGCTTATGGTGGAAAAAAAAAACCCGCCACGTCCGTGCCGAATTTACAACCAACGTCATTTTCCACGACGCCATACTTTTGCATCAACCCGGAAAAAAAGACAAGTTCGCGCATCTTCCGAAACTTCTTGCGATCGAAGCCCCGCTTGCGAGCTTTTCGGGCAAGCCTGGAGCAACGTCCCTCGTTTGCGCGCAAAAAGTAACACAAATTAACGGAGCACGCTCAACGGCGGAGAAATCTCGCGACGGCTTCCGCCACGCAAGGAAATGGTTGGATGTAAAAACATAACTTCGTGCTGCAACAGGTGGTGCTAATTCCTCCAAACGAGATCAACAGGATGACATCGTCAAAAGTTTGGTGGTGAACGACTCTCCCACCGGCATCAGCAGCTACAGCGGCGTCAGTGACATCATGCAGGTCCGGCAACAACCAGAGCACCTCCCCCATCAGATTTGACGACATCACTCGTCCACAAAACACCAAACAATACGACGGTGTGAAATGTTTTCATCCTTTCAAACGACATCAACAGCACGACACGGCAGTGATGCCATTCTTCTATATCACGACATCACGTAACAGGTAACCCCACTCTCCCTGCTGCTGGTGTCCCTACCTGCAGGATGGCCGTGTAGAGGTGGACATAGGCCCCTGCGGACGCCACCAGCATGCAGATGGCCAGGGTGGCGTAGACATTCTTGAGATGTTGGCGTGTGTCAGGCTCCCTGCCAGGGGGTGGGGGAAAGGGGGCAATGAGGGGTCAGAGGCAAGAGAATCAGTGCCATTGACATAGCTGCTGGGCATCCGTGAAAGAAAAGTGCTTCATAGCTCATCGGATTCCTCCAGTATAAATAAATATCCCCATTCCTTTTCTTGGTTCTTTCGGTAAAGTCACGTAGAAGGGAAATAAAACATAATAAAAATAAAACATTATTAAATAAAATATTTTTATTTTATTATTTACCTTCTACGTGACTTTACCGAAAGAACCAAGAAGATGAATCCCTGCAGTCACGAAAGCTTTAAATCGAAATTTAGACAGCATTTACACTAAGTTTTTGCCCCAAGGTTCATCAGAGGTTTTTTTGGGGGTTACATCTCGTAAATATAAATGTGTCGTTCAACCAGTCACCACCCCCGACACAGCCAATTAGTAAAGTTTGTCACGTAAACAAAACGTGGCACTTAGCTACTACTTCAGCGCACCTGCGTGTTGAAGAGTAAACCCACAACATTTACCACTGGATCACATTGAAAGCGGAAACCATACGCGTTAAAATGACTAACCAATGTCTTCAAATTCTATGGCCGTGCCACACACCGATGTCTTATCGGTGAAAGTGGTCCCCGTGAAAATGAATGAAGAACACCGCCACACCATTGGAACATCATTTGCCAGTAAAAAATATAAAAAATATGATATAATTGGTTTTTTACCCTTCTATCTGGCAACAAAACTGACACCTTTTTTACAAGGAGTCATGTTTGCATAGACCACAATACCTGCAGTCATAATGCAAACAAAAAACATAACTCTGATGTGTGCACTGTACTTGAAGTTGATTGGTCCACACCCGAGACAGCTTTCCTTTCTGACAAGTTTTGTTGCCAGATAGAAGGGTAAAAAAACAATTATCATATTTTTTACTGGCAAATGAGGTTCCAATGGTGTAAATGCTTACCCCGAGCTCTCATACCCTGATGGTGCATTGTATTTGAGTTGTGCGCCTTTTGGCGTCATCAGGTCCAACCCATGTGAGACTAGGCTCTAAGGAAAGCTGTCTCGGGTGTGGACCAATCAACTTCAAGGACAGTGCATAGATTATCAGAGTTATGTTTTTTGTTTGCATTATGACTGCAGGTATTGTGGTCTATGCAAACATGACTCCTTGTAAAAAAGGTGTCCGTTTTGTTGCCAGATAGAAGGGTAAAAAATCAATTATCATATTTTTTACTGGCAAATGAGGTTCCAATGGTGTAAATGCTTACCCCGAGCTCTCATACTCTGATGGTGCCTTGTCTTTGAGTTGTGCGTCTTTTAACACCGCCACAGTTGATACTGCCCATAGTGGACACGGTGTCATTTGCCACCCTACGTGGTACCGACCGATTCGCCTGGTTCACAAGCTATCTCCAAGTCCAAGCATGCATCATTGTTCCATTCTTCAATACTCCACATGAGTAAAGAGATTTATTTTTTCCACCGATGTCATAGCAAGCAATAGAGTAAGGTTTCAAGAGTACGAGGGGGCTCAAGAGTAAGCGGATCCGCTCATAAGCGACCGACCCCGATTCATACTTACACTTGTGACTCGTACTTTCGCTACAGGTAAGGGGCAGGAAGCCATCACGCGAACGTGGATTTGAGGGCTTGTAATGGTATCGTCCGTGCAAGGAACAAGTCCAAAACAATATCTAGTGTTTAAATTTCGATTTAAAGCTTTCGTGACTGCAGGGATTCATCTTCTTGGTTCTTTCGGTAAAGTCACGTAGAAGGGAAATAATAAAATAATAAAAATTCAACATAATACAATTCTCACGTTTCGGCCACAACGCAAGCAGCTGTCCTCAGGTGAAGAACAGGGCTGTCGGACAGACAGTTGTGGCCGAAACGTCGTGAGAATTTTATTTGTTTTATTTTTATTATTTTATTATTTCCCTTCTACGTGACTTTACCGAAAGAACCAAGAAGAGAAATATCTAGTGTTCTCTAATTTAGTGTTAATCATATATAGTGTTAATATTAATCTTGTGTTAATTATATATAGTGTTAATCATATATAGTGTCACTACTAATCTTGTGTTAATCATATATAGTGTCACTAATAATTTAGTGTTCTATCGGACCTGGATGCTGCAGATGATTAGTGAATCATTTACTGTACATTATTGTACTTTATGTAATATTTATGTACATTTATATACATGTTAAATACACTCTTACATTGTGTATATACACTCATATAGTATATAGTAGTGTATAGTAGAGTATAGTAGTGTATCTCCATATATATAAAAAGGAAATTTGTGATTATGTGTGTCTGTTCAAAATGTTTAGCGTACTTCCCGACATGCAACAAACTTGAAATTTGCCATGTGGGTACTTTCCAAACTGTACACCACACAAAAATTATAAAAATAGACTTTGGTATTTTTTTGGGGGGGGGGGAGGGGGGAGCTCAATAATTCATATTTTTTTTGCACGGCAAGTGAGCTGTGACGTCACATCTGTCACGTGACCCACACATGTGGAAGCGTCACGCATTGTAGTGTCGTGGTTGGCACGCTTCGCTACAAACCCGGCGACGCGAGTTCGATTCCCGGTCACGGCCACCACCGGTGACAATTCCACGGTGGTCATCCTCTTGCTCACGAATGAGGAACCATGCTGTTTGCATTTCGGCGTTCTCTGGTCTAACGCTGGTTGAGACTAGGCCCTAAAGAAGGCCGTCTTTTGGTGTAGGCCAATCAGTTTCAAGGACAATGCCCATATATTACACTGGTCAACACACTTTTTCTGGCATAAGGTATTCCAACGGTTTTAAGGTAATTTTGGGGTGCTGATTCCAAATCTGGCATCACATCAGGTTTTTGAGATATTAAATATTGCATTTTCAATAAAAACTGCAGAAGAAAAATATTAAATAAATGTGGATATCTACATAAAATGATGTTATAAACACACTATCCTAAAAATACAGCACCATATTTTAACACTAAAGCAGTCACTGACTCGCAACAACTTGCAATCATAAGTGACAGAGTTAATTTCTGGTAAAATCAATGAAAATGGGGTATGCCGATAGCATAAAAATGAGATGTGATAGAGCAAATCTGAGATCAGATTTGGAATCAGCACCCTGAAATTAGTCTAAAACAGCTGCAAAAGTCCAGGCCAGAAAAAAACATTTTTCTTTTGTTGACCAGTGTTATCAGAGCATGTTGGTTTTGCATGTTCATCACAAGTACGTGGTTAATGCAGACATGATTCTTTGCAAAAACAGGTTTCTGTGCGGTGTTTGAACACCCATTCTGTTCTAGATTTGAAGCTTTCGTGACTGCAAGGATTCATATTCTTAGGTTTTCGGTAAAGTCACGTAGGTAAAAAATAATAATAAAATACTAATACAGTGATACCTCGGTTCACGAACGCTTCTGTTCACGAACAACTCGGTTAACGAACAGAAAAGTTCACGAACAGGAGTCGCGGCCATTTTAATGCTATTTCCAGGCTGTCACATGGTCGTGACTTCCTGTAGGAAGATCGTGGAGAGAAGAAGAGACACAGAAAGAAGTACTGTGAGTACTGTGAAGACACTTTCAGTGACTTTTTGCTTTTTGGTGTGCTTTTTAGCACATACAGTACTGTACTACTGTACTGTACAATACTGTACTTACTGTATTGTACAGTTCACCCGTTTGAGTGCTTACTGAAGTCATCTTAAGCAAGGTTAGTGTTCTCTCTTTATACATTACTATACTGTACAGTGCTAATGTGTATTGTAATTTGTTTCATATTTTTGTGCTTCAAAAACCAAAAAAAAAGGTCAGAACGGATTAACCGGATTTACATTGAACCCTGTGGGAAAATGTGCCTCGGTTCACGACCAGAGTCAGTTCACGAATTAAGTTCGTGAACCGAGGTATCACTGTAAATGAAAATAACTAAATTAAATCACGCCGTTTCGGAGGCAACACAAGTCTCTGTCTTATTTTAATTTACTGGTATTTTACTTATTTTTTGCCTACCTGTTTTGTTGCCAGAAAGGGTAAAACCTATTCGTATTTTATCATGAGGAACCCATGCCTGAAATGTCACATATCGTACAATTGTTTCTGTGTTATTTAACGAATGTGGTGAGGTTATTTTGCACTGTGGGTGAGGGGGGGCGGCTCTAATGGAACTATTTAGACAATGTCGCACGCACGCACACTGGCGGCCAGAGCTGTGTTTGCGAAAAGCCTTGATCTTATCACGGCACTGTACCGCAGCAAGACCTCAAGGTCTGAAAAAGGACGTCCAGGGTCCGTCCACAGTACCAACAAAATCAAAACGTTCGAAAGTTGATGGGTGTTTTGTCACATTTAGAAGGACAAATTCCCATTGTCTTTGTGCTTTTTTGTTATTGAACAAGAGCCCTTTACAAAGCACGAGCAACACGAGGCCTGGCGTCCGTACAAATGCCAATTTTTTTGTGTTTTAGAAAACGAGGTCAAAAATGTTTTGAGATGGCATCAATCCAAACTAACCCGACTGGGCTTATTTTGGAGCTTCGATTTAAACAAATCGTGGACGCCCATCATTAAATTACATTTTTGTTGTCATTGCGATCGGCCAATTGGCATCCCTCAGCCGCCAACAGCTGCATTCTGGGTGATGGCCGATTTCGTTATTGGCATAGGATAGAAGATTTAGAAGTCATAGGCATAGTAGTAACTATAAAGTCGAAGTGCTCTCCCGTTCAAATGAGCATTTACGCTTTGCTCATCTCTTGTTTACAGCCCTAAGCCGTAGAATTTGCACATTCCTATGATGGGCGGCAGGTCCATACACAGTCCAACACACTGTTCCTTTTACATACAGAGGTGAACCCATCGAATAAGACTTCTGATGGATGTTAAAGATTGATATCATCACGCTCATTTGCCCAGGAGACAGAGGCTCACCAAGTCTCAGGACTCTTTTCAGGAGGCTCCTGCAACTTTCGCCGTCCATATTCCAATT